AAGAAAGGAAGAAAGGAAGAAAGGAAGAAAGGAAGGAGAAACTCCTCTGCTTTCTCTGGTACAGGATCACAGCCTTAAAGTTGAAAGTTTTGAAAGTTACAACTTGTACCAGTTGTACATCTCTGTCTTAGAAACAAAAAAGTGCTGAGGTGACTTAGGCTTCCTGAATAATGTATGAGGTCACATTAGAGCCACAGCATGAGGTTTCTTCACAGGCTGTATAGAATACGATGCTGCTTTTTTACCTAAAAGTAGCCAGCCTAGGAGAGCAGAATTTAGGCCAAGCATTTGCTTTGGGTATGAAGTTTGTTTTTATGGCTATACAGCATGACTTGGGGGCATGAACAGAGTCAGATAAGAACTGGAACAGCTGGTGACTTAGTCTTTGGAATCTTTGGTTATTCAAAATGTTACTTTTATCTCCCACGGTTCCCAAATGATGGGCATATTTAAATTAAGACAAAACTACTTCTGCTGTCTTCAAAGCAGAGACTATCTCCTTAGCTGGCTGAGAAAAATAGCGTTTGGGAAAATCTCTGTGTGAAATCACATTATTTATATTATTTATTTTGCCTGAATTTGTACTGTAACAAGAATCCTGGAAATAATGCCAGTAAGATAACTCTGCAAGGAATGATATAAATGTAGTCACTGTTCATAGCTCTGAGACACACTTTCTAGATATATTCACCTAATTTTCTTCAATGCAATTGTTACAGGAGAGTTTATTGGGATAACAAATAATACCGATTTCACACACATCTTCCTATTGCAATTTATTCACCAAATAATATTACTTGGGTTTCTCAGAATTAGAGGATACATTGATGTTCAGAGAGATGGGCTGTCGAGTAGAGGCAATGAGCTTACAAGTATGTGTGTCCTCCTGACAGAAGTACATAAACTCAGGCTATGTCCATAGTAGCAGTGAAGTACTGCAATAGGAGCAGATTATCTGTATAACAAAACAGTTTGTGCCGAGGAACTAGCATCTATGCTACCTGCACTCTGGGACTGCTCAGACTTCCAACTAAGACTGAATAGGTTGGATGAAGATCTACTGAAATGTAACAAGCCATAAAAGCATCCTAGAAAGCAAAAGAGGTGACTAGTTTTGCACATAGGTTGTCCTGGCATCCCCTGAAGTATCGTACCTTAATAATTCTCCTCCTAGGTAATGGGCTTTTGGATAAGCTAAGGACATACCAACAATCTGACAGCAAATTATGACCACTATTAGTACTATGATCATCATGTGCTGAAGGTGGCTATGTTGAAGGACCCCCTCACACTGCAGAAAGCAGTTCCTGCCCTGCAAAGCTTAAAGCAGAGAGAAAWGGAGCAGTCATGAAACTAGGACAACAATCACTTACAGAGCCTCATTTTAGGTGGTTATTCAATCATCGAAACAAATTTACAAGTTTTAATAAATCAAAATATCTGCTTAGCTTCACTGGAGAATTCTTGTTTTGACAACCCATACACAATTTTTTCAAATGTAAGTTTTCTCTGTTTATACATAGACGTGCAGTCATCTTTTCTTAGCAGTCCTATCATGGGCTCCTTTCCTCAATTCAGTAACATCCTTCAAAGATATTAGTAGACACAGACCCATAAATGTCTGATTCACATATATAAACATTAACTTTTGGTGCTAAGTCAAAAAAAAAGCACTAATCCACGAAGAAAGAACTTTATTCTCAACTCTTACGGTTACAAAACTAGATTGCCCTGAAAATGCACCTAAGCCTTTCGGAACTGGGGCCCACATCTTGGCAAGCACAACAGGGTCAAGGCACATTACAATGGTTCCTCAATATAAATAAAAAAATAATCATAATAATTTTCAGTGTCAGCACAGCTCACACAGCAGGGAGCAGACCCAACTGGTCTCCTGATGACAGTATAATATAAATATTAAATATTAATAGTTCTTTTATTGTTAATTTGGTAAAATGTGATACTATGTAAATGGCAGTTTGTCTCTTTTGGCTGTGCAACAGCACAGAAAATACATGTTCTTAGCATTTCTTGCTGGACGGCTTTGTCTTACAAATGATTTGCTTTTCTTAAATTAACATGTGTGAGTTGGGCAGGGGGATTGTTTCTTTTACCTGAAGTCTTTCAGCTCCTTTTTTTTTTGTGAGTAGCATTTACATCTTCTAGAGATCTGGGCTGGGTGAGACTGTCACTACCTATTAGAGTCTACATCAAATTAAAACAGAAAAAAAAAGCTATCTAAAACCATTCTTAGCTTCTACTTTTGTGTGTTTTTAATGCAGTCTTGACATAAGTGTAGGTCAAAGACTGAAGCTACTGGCTAAGTAATTAAGCATAATAGTTAAGAATATTGAAAACCAAGTAAGATACTTGTAATGTTAAACCTTTAAATATACATAAATACTTACCTTGTATTTTCAATGTTTTGTCATTAGGAAATATTTATATTCATGGTCTCTGGAACCACAGTATCAACAGTAAGAAATAATGCCCATGACTATGGTTATAGGGATTATTTGACAGCATTCTTTCTTCTTTAATATAATGAAAATGTTTCTAGTATATCCCTTCATGAATGTTCATGAATCTTAAAATATGAAATATAGATCAGAAGAATAAAAAGGCTGCAAAGATATTCCTAACCCCCTCTAAAGACATGTGGTAGAGTATGAATTGCATTCATTACCAAGAGCAGTGTGCAAGTATGGGAACCTGTAATATTCTTAGCTTCAAAACAGTATAGTACAGCAGCAGGAAAGTATAGTGACAGG